CTAGTAAAAGTGAGATACTACAAGGAACCAACAATGCATCTATTTAAAGATGGATCAGCCAGAGGAGATCCATCTGGTTTGCCAAGTCTAGAAGAGGCAGCACATGGAGTCTTGCATGGCTTGCAGTTAGTCATACTAGCTTTTTGAAGAAGATCACTAGTGTACTTTTGCTGACTAATAAACAATCCTGTGGTTGTGTATTGAATTTCCAATTCAAGAAAGAAATGCAAAGGACCAAGATCTTTCATCTCAAAAGATTTATTAAGATTTGCCTTAAGAGAAGAAATGTAGAGAGGATCATTACCAGTGATGATTATGTCATCCACATAGAGCAAAAGAATAGTAAGAGATCCTTTAATAGTTCTGATAAAAAGAGAAGGATCAGCAGGAGAAGCAATAAAGGAATAAGAAGAGAGGTGAGTGGTGAATTTCTCAAACCAAGCATTAGGAGCTTGTTTAAGACCATAGAGAGATTTGTGCAATTTACAAACATATTGAGGAGTCATAGGATCAAGAAATCCTGGAGGTTGAGTCATATAAACTTCTTCATGAAGATTCCCGTGCAAAAAGGCATTTTTGACATCAAGTTGGTGTAAAGTCCAGTGGCACTGAATAGCAAGAGCAAGAGCAAGAACAAGCTTAACTGTAGCATGTTTAACCACTAGACTGAAGGTTTCAAGATAATCAACCCCATGCTCTTGATGAAACCCTTTAGCCACCAATCTGGCTTTATACCTAGAAATTGTGCCATCAGAATTGTGTTTGATTCTAAAAACCCATTTACAACCAATGGAAGAATGGTTAGAAGAAGGAACCAATGTCCAAGTTCCCTGATGTTGTAAAGCAAAGAACTCTTCAGACATAGCCTGTCTCCACTCAGGAAATTTAGATACAGAAGTAAAGGAGGTAGGTTCAGCAACTGAAGTAGCAGAAATGTAGGCTTTAGGCTTGAAAATACCAGATTTAGCTCTAGTTTGCATAGGGTGAGTAGAAAGAGATTGGGGTAGAATTGGTGGAGGAGGATTTGAAGAAGAATTAGACATAATAGGACTAGAAGAAAATATGACAGAAGATATAGGAAAGGTAAAGGATGCAGATTCTAGAGTAGAAGACAAAGATGTAGTAGAAGGTAGAGAAGCTGATGTATGAGAAAGAAGAAAAGGGAGTAACTTAGGATAAGGTATAGATGAAACAGAAGGAGGAGAGCCCAAGAGAGAAGATTGAGAAGTATCAGAAGAAGTAGAGAGAGGAAACCAATAACTAGGATCAGGGGGAATATAAGAAGAAGAAGAAAAGGATTTAGCATAAGGAAATGTGGTTTCATCAAAGATAACATGTCTAGATGTATAAATCCTATTAGTTTGAGGATCAAGACACAAATAACCCTTGTAATCAAAGGGATAACCAAGGAACACACACTGAGTAGTTTTAGGCTCAAGTTTATGATTAGAATAAGGTTTGAGCAGAGGGTAACAAGCACAACCAAATATTTTAAGAGCTAAATAATCAGGAAGTGTATTGTGCAGAAGTTCATAAAGGGATTTGTTGCCGGTGTTTCTGTTAGGCATTCTATTAATCAAATAAGTAGCAGTTGCAAAGGCATGAAACCAAAACTCAGATGGCAAAGAAGCTCTGGCTAACAAAGTAAGAACAGTCTCAGTGATGTGACGATGTTTCCTCTCAGCAATACCATTTTGTTGAGGAGTGTAAAGACATGACTTGGTATGATGAATGCCATGAGCACCAAGATAATCATGAAAAGAAGAACTAAGATATTCTCCACCTCCATCAGAGTGAAAAACTTTAATGCAATGTGACAACTGTTTTTCTACAAAGGGTTTAAACTTAGTAAACACAAAATAAGCATCAGATTTAAGAACCAATGAAAAAATCCAAGTAAATCTGCTATAGCTGTCAATAAAGGAAATGTAGTATTTAAAACCATGTAAAAAAACATGAGGAGAAGGACCCCAAACATCACTGTGAATAGTATCAAGAGGGGTTACAAACCTAGATGTAGAAATAGAAAATGGTAACTTGGCCATTTAGCCATACAAACAATATTCACAGACACAAGCAGACCTATAAGACATAGGTTGTGGTAACTTGGAGGTAGAAAAAATCTGATGTAAAACTGAATTGGCAGGATGTCCCAATCGATCATGCCAAGTGTGATGAGAAATTCTGGAGCCAAGGTAAGCACAAGGAGAGATAAAAGTGTGGCTGAGTGCATGAATGGGATATAGACCATTATTACTCTTGTCTTGGTAGAGAATTTGCCTTGTGGCTTTGTCCTGGATAGAAAAAGAGTTAGAATCAAACAAGAATTGACAATTGTTATCAGTGCAAAATTGTTTTACTGATAATAAATTTAAAGTAATAGAAGGTACTCTAAGAATATTGGTGAGTTTGAAAGAATAAGAAGGAGTATGTAGAAAGGTATGACCTGTATGTGTAATAGGTAGTTCATGACCATTGCCAATAGAAACTTTATCTTCTCCAAAGTAAGGAGAGGAAAGAAAAAGATCCTCAAGTCTTGAGGTTAGGTGATGTAAAGCACCAGTATCAGTGAGCCACTAGCTAGGAATAGAGTGAGAAGTGGATGCAGTCATAGCAAAATATTGAGAAGAAATATCAGAAACAGCAAGCAAGAGAGGCTGCTGACTATTGCAAGAAGAATATTTAGAAGAAGCAGCCATAGTATTGAAAGGAGGAGAAGGTGAAGATTGAGCTTTATAGGCACTGTTCATGCAATGATAACAGTTAACAGCACTGTGACCAAACTTTCCACAGATCTGACAATAAATCTGAGCAATAAATCTGAGGCTTCTGTGTGACAGAATTAGATCAAAATTGTTGAGAATGAGATCTGTTCCCATAATTGTTTTTACCTCCTCAATTTGATCCACGACCTCTGTAACCAGAAAAATCTCTACCTGAACCAGAATTGGGACGAGGAAAATTAGGATAATATATTTTGCCTTGTGGAGCAGTCATAGCTGATGGATTGAAAAAGTCTGGGGATGATTTAAAGGATGCTAAAACAGAAATTTCTTCTGCCTTCAGCAGAGAATGAAGATCCTCCAGAGAAAGAGGCTGAGATCTAGTTCGAATTGCTGTGTGAAAGGCACTATTTTCAGGTGGCAAACCATTGAGTGTATACAACAGTATATCCTCATCTTCAATTATAACCGAAACAACTTGAAGCTTATCTCTAGCCTTTTTGATTTTCTGCAAGTAGATATCAATGGAATCTGAACCTTTGGTGATAGTTTGAAGCAAAGACTTAAGCTGTAGAATATAAGCTCTGGATTGAGATGAAAATCTTCTTTCCAGTGCAAGCCATATATCCTGAGATGTAGTATAGCCAACAACATGTGCAATAGCAGAGGAAGAAAGTGTGGCATTAACAAGAGTCATAAGAGCTTGATCTTGAATAATCCACTGCTGATACTGTGGATTGATCTCTGCGGTGACATTTCCAGCTTCATCAGGTAAATATTTGAATGGACAAGGAAATGATCCATTGAGAAAACCGAATAAAGAATAAGCTCGTAACAGAGTTGAGATCTGAAATTTTCAAGAGATATAATTGGAAGAATCAAGCCGAAGAGAAATAAAATTGCAGATATTAGAGAGTAAGAATATAGGTGAATGTGATGAAAAAGAAACTGTAGGTGAAGGTATAGATGAACAGGTAGAAGACGAAGATGAATTGGTAGAAGCTATGTTAGCCATAAGATCAAACGTTTGTCTTTGAAAATGACTCTGATACCATGATAGAATCCATAGAAAGCTTGAAGAAGAAGACAGATGCACACAAAGAGATTAAGAGAGACAAATGTTTTTCATTACATTTTCAGTTCAGTATATAAGTATTTATAACCAAACTTAGTTACAATGCCAGCTAACTAACAGACTGACTTGCAGGCTAGTGGCTTCAGCAACTGAACTCAATTCCATCACATGACAGTGGCTGATATAAGGGAAATGCTTGTGTGTAGTGCTGGTATTGTGTAATACTCAATGGACTTTACATACTATTTTGGGATGTTCTTATTAGCAGAACAAATGGTGGGAGCCAAGCTAATGTAATCCAACAAACAGAGTCCAAGCATAGCCAACTGAACAAATGGTGGTTTCACTTTTTCACATTACAACATCCACTATAAGTTTTTTTTTTTTGTTATTTTATATCATTTTACACTCAAATCTAATGCCAAGTGAGGAGGTAACAAGACTATGACGGGATCAAGTTCGAGTGTATTATAAAATTAATTGAATTAGGACAAACTTTTAAACTCCTGTTGGATGAGTTTGGCTCAATTAACTTCCTAAATCCTTCTCCACGAAATAGAAATAGTCCTTGATTGTTTTGAGGGTAGTTCTGTCATTTGGCTTTCATCAGAATAGTGCAAAATAAGAATGACACAATTCCAAAGCACGCCTCAATTCTGAACTTCGTATTCCGTTGTCCCAAACAAAGTGCCATTGGCTATTGAATGCTGATATAAGCCAGGTAACTGAAAAGTGAACCACCGTCCATTTCTTTAATTTGTCTTCTTCATTTACTATGTAATTCATACGCAAAATCACTGCTGCATCAATTAATCAGTTTTTGTAGTTTGTGAGCACACACTATATTTAGCTTAATACTCTAAGTGTTGTGCTCTTTGGATGTTGTCTTGATTTTGTGTTCATTAACTTTTCATCATCTTTTTGAACTTGGTTTCTTGTAGTGACTATCATATGTTTGTGATTTTTGCGTCGTAGAAATGTCTAATGCATTTCATTTACTTTACTGCTGATATAAGTTAAGCTTCTCCGGTTTATGTTGTTGCCTAGTACATAGCTCATGTTATATCTGATCCAAGTTGTTTTCCTGGAACATCAAAGTAGGCTCAACATGACGATCACTTCTGTTCTTAACTAGCTGAGGACGTATTGTGGAGTTGATCTCAGCCAAGATTGTTTTTCTTTGGTTCCACACAAACAGAAAGATGCTGAGGTCATTAGTTGTGAAGGCAGCTTCTAAACATAACAGCCTTCGTCTTGCCCAATTCAGCTTACAGGTGGCCTCTCTCTCTTCCTCTTCCTTTTTGGATCCTTTTCATCGTTTTACTCCAACATACCCAAGTCTATAGTTTATTTGAGTACAATCTTTTTGTCTCAGAGAGGAATGCACAGTAGAAATAAGCAGGCAATGGAGCTTATTGCGAAAGGCTGGAGTGCTCTGCAAGAAGTTGATAGAGTAATTGATTATTGCGAACTTAACGACAAACGTCTCATCCCTCTTCTCAGGGTAAATTGAGATATAGAAAATAATATCTATTTAGAAGTTCTGTACTTTTTATTTGGATGCATTTTTATTGGTTGGCATGCCACTTTTCCAACTGTAATCTAAGAACTGTGCATGCTGAGGTGTTGGGAATGTTGAGGTCATTTTGCGAAATTGTTTTGCTTTTCTCTGCGCATAAGTACTTTTTCACATGTTTGCACACTGATTTTTGAACTGCAAGAAGTAGTTAATAATCCAGAATAACTGCTGAGATGTTATTGGAGTCATATATCATTTTGATTTTGATTCTAAGGCAGTTCTTGGATAATAGAATGGGTGTATGATAACATTCTTACTTGAATCATCCAACAGCTTGTGGATATTATATAATTCAAGTGCATGGCTGACACTAGGTTTTGTTTGGTTTATTTGACAATGTCCTTGTGTTTGGTAAATTGTATAGGTACTCAACTAAACTTGGACTGGCCTTGATTTGATTGATAATTGTGATTGGATTAGATTATCTAATAAGGTGTATTTATGGTCTGGGATGTGAATTTTGAAATGGCTTCCTTTTGGGGATGATGAGGCGGGTAGGCAGGTTGTTAGTCGCACAAGTGCACTTAGATTTTAAGTCAGAAGTAAAATAGCTCGGAAAGCATGGTTGGTATAGCAATTAGCTTTTGGGTAACCGAATGCCTTCTCAGCTAAAAACTGATGAAAAATGGTAAAGAATTGAATTTTTATTTAGCAGGGATGTAGTTGGCTTCCTTACCCTTTGGGCCACCTTTTGTTCTTTGTTTTAAGTTCTTTTGTTTAATTCTTTAACGGCTGTTTGACTACTTTGATGGAACTTAACTTTCATCGGTAAATTCTTAGTTTGTACCTGTTTTCAGCTTTCAAGTATCCTTGGTTTTCTTTTACATTTTAATTAAGAATTGTTTTTTGTTAAGCATAGTTTTTCTTGTGTGGTTTTTATGTCAGACAGCAAAGGAGAACTTTGAGTTAGCTTTGGAGGCTGACAACTTAAATACCCATGCCAGATATTGGCTGTCCAAATTGCATCTCAAATACCATGTCCCTGGGGCATGTAAAGCTATGTAAGAAGCTTAAGACTTTAATGGTCTAAATTTTATCCCTTCTCACAACCCACATCTTGGTTTGTATTTTCAATTTCTACCATTAGCCTTGTGGGTCACACGACCTCCCCATTTAGAAGTTGTGTATCTTGCTTTGAAGTAATTTTTGCTTGATTTCAGTATATTTCCTTTACTTGTTCATTTGTATTCATACACACAATTCATACTGTTAGCCTTTTTCGTCGTAACAGAGGAGCTGCTTTGTTAGTGGAAGCTGCAGAGATGGGCGATGCAGATGCACAGTATGAGTTGGGTTGCCGTTTAAGAGTTGAGGTTAGGCTCCCAATGCAAGAGTATGCAATTAATATATGTCTTGCTTTCCTTACGTAAAACAGGGATATTCTGTTTAATTGAACTCCTCATTTTTCAATGGAAGCAATATAGTGGCATGTTTGAGCAGTCTTTCTTGAAACTTTTATTTTCTGACACACCTATAAATGAATCTCATATTTAGTTGAAAGCCTCTTTACAATGTCATGGATGCCACTTTTTACACAAATGTGATGGGATCATGGGAATATTTTTTGTGTTCTACATTTGAAACATCACCAGACTCAATAAAGTGGTATTCTGACAGAACCAGTTAGTTGTTGTAATGAAAGAAATGTTGCAGACGACTCATTACTATGACTGATTCCAAAATATGGGATATTACCGTGTCATAAAGGTGGATGCCTTGTTCCATCTTCTCAGCCATTCTTCATTCCCATCCTTTGATGTTTATTATGGAGGACATTTTCTCCTCACTTCCGTGCACAATTGCTTTCCGCCATACGCATTTAGATCGCAAACTTTTGCTAATCTTGTACAGTTGTATACCTGCAAATCCATCATGCATTCTATTAAGCAATGGAGTTGTATTCTTTATGAGCCTGCTATTTTTTATTTTTTTTTTGCAAATCTTAGAATTGGCGCAAGAGCTTACTCATGTCTTCCTTTCTACTTTAAACAATGCTTCAGCTCAAGGTTCAAAGTATCGGCCGAGTCGGATACAACTCGCCGAGTTGTATCCGACTCGGCAGGCATCGATCCCTTAACGATACACGATACAAGACTATCACGAGTCTACCATGACTCGGTTCTGACTCAGGCCAACTCAGTCAAACTCGGTCCAACTCGAACAAACTCAGTCTAACTCGGCCGCCGATTCACTTTCGAATCGAACTAATACGCACAGAATCGTCCAAGCAACAGAGAAAATGTCAAAAAAAGGGCAAAAAAGATGAAAAATTGAACCCTAAATTTGACCCCTTTTACTATAATAAAAACAAAACTAGAACAAAATTGAACACAAACCTGAAAAATTGTGGTAAATCTCCCTAATCAGAGAAACTTTCCTACTATTTGTTCTTACTTTTCTTCTTCTTCGCAGTAGCAGAGGACCCAACATCATTGATCAACATCGCAGATTGGACTTTACTTCTTCTTCACAGTTCATCGGTCAACATCGCAGACCCTAGGCTGCACGACGATCGAACTACTTGAGTAGCAGAAAACCCAGCCTTCACGATAAGTCTCGAGTAGTAGAGATCCATCGTCTCTGTGCTCTCTCTCTTTCTCTCATGTTTTCTGTTCGTCGAAGTTGAGAGTTAAAGAGAGCCTCTGGGTCAAAAATACGTGAGGGGCCTTATGAGACCCAAAAATTTATTCCCCCCTTCTTTTTGTTTTTTCGGTTTTGGCCCATTTTTTTTAATTATATAATTTTTAGTATTTATCATATAATCTAATTAGAACTTAACTTCTTAAGTTTGTTTTTGTATATGTATTGATGATTTAATAATTAAATGTACATAATGGAGAAAATACATATAATCATCATACATAAAATACATATACATATAATCAATCTAATTAGATACATAATAAATAATTAAATGAAGAATTTTTTTATAAATAGATTTTCATTTTTAAAGCTATTAAGTTAACCATATATACACACATATTTTTTTATAATTTTTAAAAATTACAAATTAAATTATATTAACCTTGAATATAGATAATAATAAATATTTTTCGGTAGCATCCTTATTATTCTTTTTTGCAATGATTAATATGTTAAATATTGTCTTTTAGGGATATGATGCATTGATGATGATATTTATATTTATTACAATTTTTTCTACTTTTTTCAATTTTTTTTAAGCCTTCTATATAATGTTTTGGGCGTATCGGCTGATACTGCGCCGTGACCAATGTGTCTCAATGGCCCCCAAGTCAAGGGTCGATACCGCGACCTTGAACCATGCTTCAACTTCCCTGGAAAGTGTAATTACCTTGAGGTTGAGGATCAAAAGTCAATTAGTGTGACTGCTATCTTCCTCATGAAAACCGGGTGGAAAGGGAAGGGGCCAAGCTCAAATGACCTATTTGTATTCGTTCCTCGATTTAACTCCATGTGTTTGTTGAAACACAGTTGCATAACACTGTCAAACAAAGATGGACCCTATTTGGTCTAAATGTTTTGGTGGAAATGATTTCACCCCGTAAAACCTGTCTTTGCTTGAGATTGTCCTCAACATTTTGCAGTCAAACAGCTCTAGTTTTGAGGTTTGTAGCACAGTTATTTTTATTCTCGTTTTTCTTTTCTTTTTTCAGGTCCCATTTTCTTTTGCCTGGGGGCTTTTGATTTGTCTTTATTGTTATAAGTTAGATTGCTGTATGGCTGACATAGTTCTGATGTATTATTTGCTTGTTTTGCTTTCTTCTCTTCCTTTTTTCTTCCGAATAGAGAATATAGTTCCTGATTCTATACTTACACCATGATATTCTTCGGTTGTTTATTGGGCAGAACCAATATGTTCAATCAGATCAGCAAGCTTTCTATTATTTAGAGAAAGCCGTAGACCAGGTATGATACCCCAAGTCATTATAATTTATAATGCTTCCAGAACTGGCCTCAATATCTTATTGGACCTTGCTGTGTTTTAGATGCATCCAAAGGCTCTCTACCTTTTAGGTTCTGTATATTTAACGGGAGATTGTGTGAAAAAAGATATCGCCTCAGCATTATGGTGCTTCCACAGGGCGTCAGAGAAGGTAATTACCGTAATAGCAACTGATCTTCCTTAGTGAGATGCATTGTTTAATTACGTTAAAAGACGGTGATTTATGCTCAGAGCTTTTATTTACATATTTTGTTGACAATGGTGTTCTTGGAAATCATCCTGAACAGATCGTGCTTAATATTCATTACGCACATGCAGGGTCATGCTGGGGCTGCTATAGCATATGGATCTCTTCTTCTCACAGGTTAGCTCTTTAGTAGATAACTAGCAGAAGTTGGTGTGCATATTAGGTTATCTGTACAAGCTATGCTTTTATTGTTTGATACAATAAAATTCTATTGCTTGCGTTGTAGCAAGTTTCACGATGTGGATTTGAAGTTATCTGTAAAAGCTGCGCTTTTCTCTATCAGATCTTGAACAATTTCCAATTTCCCAAATACATATATATTTTTTTATGGTGTCCAAGAATCTTCTTTGAATGGCACCCGACATCAACACCACCGCTAATGGCAACTTCAGCAGTGACCTGGTCAAGAAGTTTTCCCTCTTGAATACTTTTATTCGACACTCAACAAACTGCATGTATTTCGCAAACTCTGGTAGATATATTAGTGATTTTGGTGACTCTGTCCATCATGTGGAGGTGGTCGATGCCAGTTTAGAAAATTTTTCTTCTTGTTTTTTTGACTCGAAGGGGTAATTTTCCAAGCACTGAATGGATTAATGAATAAGGGATGTATGAGCAAAATGGGGGCATGGATTTTCCTAGCCAAAGTCCCAAGCGAGAAGAGGAGGAGGAGAATAAGATTGAAAAATTCTAATTTCTTCACATACAATTACTTTTCGAAGAAATGTTTTGCTAAGATAATCCAACTAGATCTTTTTTGCCCAATGTCCCTATACTGAATTGTGTTTTCATCTCAATGTGGGTTGGCGACCTTTTCATTTTTTCGCTTATCGGTGAATGGGCATGTTGTAGGTGTTGAAGTTCCAGAATCTGTGACAAAATTCAACTTAAAGAGGGGTTCCTCTACCAGAACATCAAGGAAGAATGCAAGACGTTCTGTGTCAAACCCAGTTGAGATGGCAAGAGAACAATTTGAAATTGCTGCAAAAGCAGGATGCGATCTCGGATTTAAATGGTTGAAAAGACTCGAGGAGGAAGAGAAGCGTCTACTGGCAGTGGCTGCATAGTATCTGAACGGCATATCTGAATATCTAAGCTCAATGTGGAGGTATTTAGCTGTCATAAGTGTTTCTCAGAAATTTATTAGTTGTCTTACAGAATAATACTACATAATCAGTAATCAGTTGGTGTAGTCTCTTGGTATTTTTTGATTTCAGAAATGCATACTCTCTCTCTCTCTCTCTCTCTATATATATATATATATATATATATATACAAACATCATAGTGGCATTGAAAAGTCTTAGGTAGAAGAACGAAACCAGGATTTTCTGTTTATTTTAAGAGATCATTCAATAACTTTTTTGTTAATATAAAATTTTACTTGTGCAGATCCTATAAAAACCTATTTTCACACGATGTGAAAATATTTTCTGTTTTAGATAAAATTGATAAAATTAATTCAAACTTATCCAAATGCTTTCTTATGGTTTTAGTTTAATTTTAGAGCAATGCTATTGGACCCTAATTTACGGACATAATTTGTTGAGCTAATTCATTATGATTTTTGGATTGACTGTAGAATCCATCAAACATTGAAACTTGGTCTTGATCCAATGATTTTTATGAAGTTACATCATTATGTTAGTAAATTAGATCAGATTTTTAGGTCCAAATAACATTATTTTTAATTTTATCATATAATCACTCGAGTACAATTAATTTTCAATTCAATTTTACCACCTTGTGATAAATTTATCATCAATTCATCTAGTAATTCAATGATTATTGTTCAATTTTTGCTCAATTTTATCAAATAAGCCGACCATTTGGGCTAGATTTTAAAATGTAATCTATTAGATTGCAATCCTTAGGGAGCCAAAATATTACATAAAATCACATTAGTACTACATAGGATAATTTTGAAACTTGAGGGGAGGCCCTTGGACTCTCTAGTTCCGCCCATGCATAGGTACCAATTGGGACAAGTTATGACCCAATTAAGTCGAATTGTTACAAAATTTGATACTAGAATGACTCAATGAATTTCAAAAATTTGGATCGACACTGAAAAATAAAACTTGAGTTTATCTTAACAAGTTAGAATTGATTTTAAGTTTTTTATATCGATCTTAACACTACGAATGACAAATTATCACACATTCAATTCGCCGCAAGAATTTTAAAGAGAATTTTTATTCTGACTCTAACTTTTGGGTGTCTTGTTTTCAATCCCTTCAATAGAGTTCTGATTGTGACTTTAGCTTGACCATTACCTTGAGGGTGGATTGGGGATGAATAATGGCTCATGGTTTGACATAGCTTAGGTTTGTCAACAAATTGAATTTGGATCGAATTTCGATGAAGTCGAATTTGAATTTAAAAGTTAGATTTGATTATCCGAAGGATTTTATTTTCATGGTTCATATCTGAATCCATTAACAATCTAAAATTCGATTCAAAAATTCGATCCAATCTGAATAACTTAATTTAATTAAAATTTAACAAATCACATCTAAATTTCTTTAAATAATTACTTAATTTTTTTAATATTTATGTAAAACTATATACATATTTTAGATCTGATCGGATATAAGTATATTCAAATCTGAAAAACCATGAAATATGAGATAGTAGATTCAGATTTGAATTCGAATTATTGGTAAAAAATATCAATTCATATCCGACTAATTGAATTCAGATTCAAATCAAATCCAACCAGAGACTTAGTCTGACCCATTAGTTCAATGGGCTATAGATCAGTGTAACTTGACATTTAGGTTGAAGTGAGCAAATTCTCAACCCAATGGAGTGGTCATGGGCCATAATCACGATGTGTATCTACCCATTGGATTGGACCAATCAAGCCCACATATGACATTTTTTGTTCAATTATCTTTCGAAGAAATTTACAAAAAATGATTGGTCGATATACTTCATCTATCCTTCAAAGATTAGACTCTTTTGAATGTTGTATATAAGCTTGAGTATACTGGCATTTTGGACTCTCTTGTGAAGCTCACTTGAGCAATCTGCATTAGTTTTTTTTTTTTATTTTACTAAAAATGACATTAAATAGGTATAGAAATAGAATTTTAAATCTTTCATTTCTCTTTTCAAAAAATTAAGTAATGCACAGATTATACAACAAAAGATAACTAGCACAAACTCAACACTTTTTGTATTACTTGAAGGATTATGTATAATATGCGAAAATGTGCTTTGAAGTTTTAAAGACAAAAACAAACAAGAAGTTTCGATCAATGGTGCAGTTTTACGTGTCCTTCTTATGTATCGTCAAACAATCAAATCTGAACAAATAGCTCACGATAAGTGTGACTGTGCAAAGCTAATGCGAGTCAAACCCATATTCCACCGTTCTAAAACCTTCACCTTGGTCTTCAATGGAAAAATGGTGAGAGAATAGAGAGAGAATAATGGCTCATTGTCTTCCAATATATCTGAGAGTTTTGGTATAGATCATTCGACTCTCGAAGAGCCAAATACGTATATTAATAGGGAGGAGAGAGAGTGTAGTGGGGTTTGATATTATTAGGTGGTTATCTCCCACTATCATTATGGGCAGGGGTGGAGCCGGGAATTTTGTTCAGGATGGACATTTTAATTATGCACTCTAATTTTTTTCCTTTTAACCAATCACACTATATAACATATTTATTATATTATTTTTGATATATGAAGTCCATTTAACATAAATTTTTTTTTTAAAAAAATGTATATTGCCAAGGGCGGAGCCATAAATATCTATGATAGAGGCAAAATATAACTGATATAAAAAATATTAAGCCGAAATTAATACAAAAAAATTCAGTTCAAAAATAAAAAAAAATGTAAGAATCAACACTAAATTATTGTGAAATAGTAAATTCAATTTTTTAGTACATTTTAACCTAATTATATATTTCAATAAAATATAAAATTTTTTGTATATGAATTAAATGTAAATTAATTTTCGTATTTTATTAGGTTATAGACTACTATTACTAAAAAAAATGGTAAATGAAAACTAAAAATTATTCTTAAAAAGTAACGAACATTGTGTTAGATAAAGATAAATATTATATTTTCGTCAATATACAAATAAAATATTGACTCAATCCAAAACTAACATATTTATTTTAGAGGGTTAGTGGTCCACTAATTTATTAAAAAAAAAAGACTAGAACCATTATTAAAAATTTATAAAAATTTAGGGGGTAAATATAATGTGTAAAATAATTTTATAGGTTGGTGCAAGAAAGGACAAAAAAACTCAAGGAACTGAGTTTTTCGTGTGTTGAACTTTTCTCTGTTTCTTCTCTTTTTTTTATGGTTGGGCAGTGGGTAGTTGGAAGTGAGTGATACAGAGAGGAGAAAAAAAAGGAAAGATAAGATAGGTTTTAGTCAAGTGGGTCAAAAGTTTTGTTTTTTAATGATGGTGGGCCAAAATGTTTGTTTTTAATGTTGGGCCAAAAATTTTATTTTTAATATTGGGCTAAAAGTTTTGTTTTTTTAATAGGTTTGGGTGGATTGTGGTAGGTTAAATATTTGATTTTTAATAAGTTTGGATAGATAATAGTGAGTTCAATCTTTTTCTTTTAAATAGACTTAATTGTTTAATTATTTTGGGTAAATAATATGAGTCTAATATAAATGAGGGAGACACACATAATATATATGTATAAATATATAATACATATATCTAACTAATAAAAAAAAATTGAGAGGGGGGGGGGGGGCACGTGCCCACCCTGGCCCGTACCTCCCTCCACCCATGATTATGGGAGTTAACAAATAGTTTGAACTAGTTGAACTCTTTCAACCCACCTATATCTTACCGAGTTATGCCCACCCATAGATGACCCAACCCCACTCCATATTCCTAATTCCTACATATCCCACTCTCACATGGGTAGGGATACATAGTGTCAATCTCTCAACATTCATTGTCATTAAGAGTATCCATAAAGGCTAAAAGAACAATGCGACTACTGAATCCACCTGCAATTGAGAGTTACTATACTAGAAACCCAAGAGGGCCTACATAGAGACATCAACCCTTAAAAAAGATAAATAACCAATGGGACTCATTATACCCCAGACCCATTTTAATCACACCAAGTTAAGTATCTGTAGTCCCTTAGAGAACTATACTTAACTTTTCATTCATTTGCATAAATACTTAATTATACTACTCATCTACACTTGATTCCAAAACAACTTTTTTTCCATCAATACTCTGAAAGATGAAATCATACATTGTCATAGATAACATACCAAAGTAGCAGGCATCGATTTTTCACTTTGTAACATTGTCAAAAGTCACATAGAGAACAAGGTAAAAGGTTAAAGTTGTCCTTTAGGACTCACACTATGAGGAAGCATGGATTTATTCATTCACTTCACTGTCTAGGTCGCTAAGCACATGTAGTATGAAGTACATGCTACGACAGATAATCTCATTCCAATGAGCACTTGTCTCCCGACCTGCCATATAGATCTTAGTCTAGTCATTCCCTGAGTGTCTAACCTGAGTCCTCTATTTGTTTGTCTATCAAAGCAACAAATTAAGATCTCACATCCGGCTATTCAATCAAGCTCATATAGATCATGGGATCATCTATATGCGGTCTTACCATAATTATAGACCTCATCTTGGTTCCAATCAAAGTGACAATATCTAATGTATATATAATGTCTCATTATTTTCTCACTATCTCAAGTGCCAAAAATATGACTTTATATATAATGCCTCATTTCGTGCTCATTATCTCAAGCAGTATAAAGGTGATTGCTTGTGTGAGTAAGTCAATAAGCCTGTTGACATACTTTTAAACAAAGAATAATGAACATATATATGTGGGTGTGCTAATTAACATTTACGCCACATTAAATAAGATATGAAAATCAAAATGTCATGTGCATAAATGATAACAAGATGTCTTAAAAATAAATAAATATAGTACATCCCATAAGTGAGGAACTAAGAACAAATCATATCCTACGCAATCCTAAGCCCTAGCACGAACCATAAATGCATTTCTAAGAATGGGCTTGGTCAGGGTGTCAACTACCATCTGGTTTGTAGCAATATACTGCAAAACCAATTTCTTTTATGCCACATCTTCTCGAATGAAGCTATTACTCAAGTCAATGTGTTTGGTCTTCCCATTGTATTTGGGATCTTTGGCAAACAAATGTCGTCATATTATCACAATAGATCGTCACTG